ACAAACTTGTTTCGGAATTGAATTAAATGCAATTTGATAACGAGTAACGAGATTATAAGGATTCTGAGGAAGATTTGCAATGTTTGAACTGTCGAATCCCATCTCCAGACGTGACTAATACAAACATCGTTTACAAGTTCACTCGCACTTATGGTATTATTGTTAATTACTTCTGAATATCACGGAGATAAAGGGGATTATTAAGTTAATCGTTTTGGCAATTTTAGTCTAAATAAAAATTACAATATATTTAATATTATGTATAACCTGTAAATTAGTTGTCATAAAGAAAATATAATTTGATAATTCTGATCTTCATGGAAATCGCAAAATCGCCAACGAAAAAAGAAAATTATGTTTCATGCCACGAAGAGAGCAAAATATTAAAACTTTTGTGTTTCTGTGTCAATCTTCATTGTGCTGTGGGTCCGGTAGGTATTAAAGGACAGAATATTAGGGACGCACTCGGAAAGGTTTCGGTAATAATTTTTTTTTTTGGTTTATTTAGGTGGGTCAAATGTTATTAAATTACACTAAGAAAAGACAATGACATTAAATATAAATACAATACATTCATAGTTAGGAATACATAATTACAGAATTATACAGAACTTAAAGTAGGAGAGATTCCACAAATGCTCTATGGGGTTAAACATGCACAGCCTGTTCAACCAAATTATCGCATACATACTGTTTTTTAATTGCATATGACTTCCAAAAGTTGCCTTTTTTGTAACTGAATTCAAAATAAATATAATTTTCTAACAAATATTCCTGGATTTCAGTTTTTGAATTTGATGAGGCTGGTGCTTTGCGCAACAGACTGCTGTGGTAGCTTGCGTTGTCCATCACAATAACACTGTTTTTGGGAATACAATTGTATCCTCATGATTATTAAAACTAGAATCCTTATTATTCGTTGCAGATAACAGCAAGCAACTTGGAACAAATGATGCGATCCTTTGGATACAGTGTATCGAACCAAGTTTCATCAAGGTAAATTACGACACTGTTGTCTAATCTACATCTATTAATTTTTTAATCGAATCTCCAAGTGCGTGATCTGTGTGATTACTGTGTGAGTACTTAAATGCCATCTTACAAACAACTCTATGGAGGGTGGCACGGCTTATATTAATATTGGTTTCATCTTCTTCTAGCTTCTTTTTCAGTTGATCCAAGGTAGGAACAACTTCGCTTTGATAAAGACAATATATTTTCCTTCTCATTAGATCCTGATCACTATTGTCTACATGGTGCGTTTGAAAATCACTACGTTTATTCCTTTTCTTCAATTCTCCACTATTAACAATATCCCTTATCGATGGCATTAGCATTTTTGTAAGAAGACAAGTTTCTTTTAAAGCTTCTTCTTTAATAAGTCCTCTACTAAAGTTTCACACATTTTTCACAACCTATTTTGCTTCAAGCGACAAACGATTTCGATGCGACATAGTATAACAAATATAATAATACAATAAAATATGATAAATTCTAGCTAGATAAGTATACAACAGTTGATAACAAAATTTTATGCAAATAACTTGAGATACTAGATACAAACAACAACAAAAAAATCAAATGACCAAATAGACACAGAATTTACGTAAAATAACTTTTTCGAAACGCACAGTAAAGACGATTATTCAGCATTGTCACAAATAGTCAACATTCAAGAGATATATCAGAAAGAAAAAAATATACCTGGCGCACTCCTGCCTTGTCACAAGTAAGACTATTTTTTTTGTTAATGGCGTTACTCAATGGACAATAGGTAATAACATCGTTAAAGTTTTATTGGGGAAGGTCCGTCGAAAGCCACAATGAAGATTGCGACACAATACTATTTACAACACTTCTGGATTTTGGAAGTTGCTAACGTTTCTCCAATCATCCTGTTGACTTCTTCAGAACTTAACTGAAACTGGCTATATTTTATTTTGTGCCTGCTTATATATTGTTTGAGGGGCGGAGCTAAATGGGGTGCATAAATATCGTCTGTCTCGGATAACTGATTCCCCCAGGTTGTTTATAGATTTCTATAGACTCTCGGATTTTTCGTTGGTGGAAGAATTGATTACATGTCAGAATTTTAGTTTTATCGACATTTTATGTCCGGTGAGTTGGGCAACTGTTAATGAGTTTATTTGTATTAACCTTAAGGCTATTTCGTGTTCCTTGACCCTAGTTGATATTTTTCGTCCGGTCTCTTCAATATATTCCTTGCCGCATATGCATGGAATGCTGTAAACTCCTGGCATCTCAAATGGAATTTTGTCTTTGACGGACCGAAGATGTTGAGAGATTTTTGGACATGTGGTAAACCTAGTTTTGACGTTATATTTCTTTAAAACTTTTGATATGTGGTCAGTGATGTTTTGAATATAAGGAAGGACCACAGTGGCAATTGTAGGATTGCTTTCGGCCTCATTGCTATTGGAAGGTTGTGGTGAAGTGTATTTTGCCATGCCTTAATATCTTTAATGGTCAAAGAACATGAAAGAGCCTTAAGACTAAGACAAATAAACTCATCAGAAGTTTCCGAACACAATTATAAAGTCGAACATCCAATTTTATTCGACAAAAGTAAAATTCTGGCATGTAATCAATTTTTCTACCAACGAAAAATCCGAAAGTCTATAGAAACTTAACAATCTTAACTGCGACTCGGGCCTTATCTGTCACCAATATGGGAATCAGTCATCTGAGACGATGTTTATCCCCCTCATTTAGCTCCATCTCCTCAACAATATATAAGCAGGTACAGAGTAAAATACGAGCCAGTTTCAGTTAAGCTCTGAAGAAGCCAACAGGATGATTGGCGAAACGTTAGCTAGTTCGACTCAACAATAACCGGCGCAGGAGGAATCCAGAACTTTTTTTAAAAAGTATTACAGCAGCCTGTGGAAATTTCTTGGAAAAATTATTGAGACATACTACACAAAATTTCTACCTGTGGTATGTGCATGATGGCGACCGTGATGCCGCTTATAATATCCGACAAGAAGCTCCTCTTCCAGTTGTACCCGGGTAGCCATTGCAACAATGGTAAAACTTGAAAAAGACAGTTGAGGGGGCTGATGGAGGAAAACACCCTCGTGCATTTGCTTTTCACTGAAACATTTTCGACATTATGCGGGGTAGTGGAGAGGTGGGAAGCGAGGTGAAGGGACACTTACGCGTGGAGTACGGCCTTTCGTACAGTGTGTCCCGATTTAACTCTTCTATTTGATAGATAGGCCTTTCCACGTGCATGGGGGTGGCTTTTTGGGCCCCATCGTTGTCGTACACACTGCAATTTAGAGAATGGGGATGGGTAAGAACGTTTAACAGGGATTAGAAAATAAAGGGAACTCTCCGTTGGAAAATATTTTCAAACGATTTCTTGAAACAAAATTGACAGTAACATTCGAGGGTGTTTCAAACGACTTGGTCACAGATAATAACGTAAAGCTAATAACTGTTATCAATTACTTAATGGGATCGGCAGCGCATGGAAATGAAAAATTGCGATTTTGTTGAAAACAGCTCGTTTTATTGCGGCGTTTTTGCGAGCTTTAAAAAAAAAGTTTATGTCAGTGCTAAATTTAATGTTAACTAGAGATATAAAGCTATTAATAAAAACTCATTAAAAAATGATTTGCCAATTATTGGGTATTGGCTATTTGCAACACTGTTGTAAAATAAAAATTAAATCATAAACGGATTGATTGAAGTGAACTGCTACTCAATTTATTTTAGCAATGTCAATTTATAAAAAAAAATACAAAAACCAATATTATACCGGGTGATGCATTCCCGAATGGGACAAAGGAAATCCCATGTAAATTTTTTATTGCCAAATATTGACTCGCCTGTACATTTTATAGCAAAATTGTAATATAACTTTTTGGTGCCGAAACCTTTGGCCACCCAGGTCGCCTGACTCCTCGCCGAAGGACTTCTTTCTGTGGTGTCACTTGAAACATGTTATAGCTTCTTAATATGATTGATACTTAACACTACTCTTATAATTTTTGCTATACCTACTGTTTTGCAAAGCCAAGTTCAATTTATAAAATTTCGAATTTCGTATGCACAGATGGGAAATATTCAATCAAATTAGTATTAATTATTATTGACATTTGAAATATGTTTTACGATTAATATAGGTTTACTATTATTATATGTGAGAAAAAACATATAAAAATGTGGTTTTCACTAGAATGTTTGACTAAATTTTGTTGCAATAAAAGTGATAACGTTGCATTTACGTTTTTCTTGAGAAAATTGATTTTTTTTACACTATATAGGCAATCTAAATTAATCCACTCGTGAGCAGCATTGACAGCTAAAACGGGCCCTATTCAACAATTCCAAGACAAAATAGCTTCAGCCATTCTCAAGTTATCGACATTTTTTTTTAAATGTAAGGACATTCCCAACCACATTCTCTTATGACTGTCTGTAATATAAAATTACCAAACCGTTTTTAAAAGAAATTCTTCATCGGTCACACTACAACAGCGGTTTATACATTTATCAAATTTTCTTTCAACTTATAAAGCGCTACACTTGCTGCAGTGAGAATAGAGAATGCGATTGCGCCCCCCAGCCGCCATTCTAATTTTAATAAATAATTAATAGATTAACAACTAATTAATAATCAATTATTAATTATCATTTAATAGTCTCAAGTTATTGGCGGGAATTAATTTTTAATTAATTAATTAATTGCAATTAATTTTTAATTGTTTAATAATCAGTTAATAATTAAATAATTGTGTAACCATTAATGATTTAATTTATTATTAATAAACTAATAGTCAATTAGTAATTAACAGTTACCTTTTTAATTTTTTTTCCGTAACCGGTAATTACATATTGATTTTTAGAGAAATTACATATCGGTTATTAATAATAAATTTTAATAGTTTTAAGTTATTTTCCATAACCAGTAATTACATATTGACTTTAGATGGAATTACGTAACGGTTATTAATAATTAATTTCAATTAATAATTGGCTAATAATTAATTATTAATCAATTATGGATTAAGAGTTAATACTTTTAAATTTTTTTCCAGAACAGTAAATTTCATATTGTCTTTTGCAGGAACTACAGAGAGCATTTTATAGTATTCTAGAATTTTAATTAAACTTGCAGACATTACAAAAAACAATAGTGGAGTACCACAACATGCGCGACATACGAGAGAAAGACCAACAAATAAAGAAATTCTCCAACAAAAGGGAATATCTAAAAACTAATTAAAAAAAATTGAAAAAACTAATATCTAATGATCCACGATTCTGTGATGATCGTTTACCATCAATATTTATTTTTCCACAATTCCGCACCTTTGAGCGCCGTTACTATACACCCGTCTCACTCTACATATTGGCAGCGTCACCCGGGTCGACAGGAAAAAAAAAGATATTTACCCGTCGTAGTTGATGTAAAAGGTTTTTTTCATCAAGAGGGGCTGCGTCTCGTCATCGTCCATCTCGATCTTTTGTTTTTTTTTTTCGGAGGCAGTGCTACACGCGCGCGTTTTTCCCGCACGCGATCTAATTAACTCGCTCGTATCTTTTAAAACTTTTACGAGTAAACAAACAGTTGCCGAAGGATTTACGTCCGCAAGACTGATAAACGCGCGATGATGAGCTTATCGTTAAAACAATGGCGGCGCGCGAGCGGATCTGACGTTTCTGACGTTTCGGCGCTCAGACAAGGTGGCCGTCAAGTTTCCACCCTGTATATGTTATATTGCGAGTTAACTTAAGGGATAAACGTTGCGACGCTTGAACAGTTTATTGCACTGTACAAGGCGCCCTCAACTCATAAACTAGGAACGATAGAACAAATTTACATAGTGTCGGGATTATTGAAATGTTGAAAATTATTGAAAATGTTAGGATTTATATTTCGGAATATTAGTAAGTTTATAAGCGAACAAACACTAACGGCACTCTACTTTAGTTACGTTAGATCTAAGGTGAAGTATTATATACATATATGGCAGCTTATTTTCGATAAATATATTATTCAGTTAGAAAAAGTTCAAAGGAATTTTTTTAAATATATAGCTTTTAAGTGTGATGGTGTATTTCCACAGACATGTTTTGACCATAATGTTCTCTTAAAGCGATTCGAAATCCGAGCTTTAATTAATGGTAGGAACTATGGATCATTTCAATTTTTAGTTAAATTATGTAGATCTCCTCAAGTTCCTTCGCGGGCAAACCATCTCCAAGTGTGAAGTGCACTCTTTAAAGCAATACAATTAAAAATGTACTTATCAATGATATAACACCGGCTCAGCGAGCATTGAAGATGCCAATTGAGATTTTGGCGAAACGTCTGCAGGATTCCAGTCGGATGCAGAATTTGCAGGATTCCAGTCGGATGCAGGATTCCAGTCGGAGTTCAACGAGCGAACGGATGATATCCCGGAGTTCTTTATATGATTGCTTTTGATTTTGTTGATTTTTGCTATGTTCTTTATTGGTATCTTTTCGGTATTCGGAATTTTTTTTTGACCTTTGTAACTATACTATATACAGGGTGTCCCACGACATGACTGCCATAGCTTGGGAGCGTGTTGCTGAGGTGTTAAAAATATAAAATGAATATATCTGCGGAAAGCTATTGTAACTCAGCTACAAGCATTTAAAATTTTAACGACCATTTTTTTAAAAATATTTTTTATTTATTTATATTTGATTTTGTTGAATTAGTTGTCCAGTTGCTGTATATGATACCTTCAAAGTCAAACAAAACAGGTGATTGTCAGGACATACCAGTGGAAAGTGGATTGGCCTCAATGGTATTTTGGTCATCCATGTCACTTACATTTTCTTCACAAGTATTAACATAAGGTTCTAGCTATGTCTAGGCTTCAATATTTGTAATTTCGGGAGAGATTATGATCCTATGCCTCTTTTTGGTTCAACGCCAAACAAAGCTTCATATGTTTCGGCGTAGTCCTTTATGGTAAATTGTGTTTTGTGATTGGCTCTTTCGACTGAGCCTTGTGTTTGGCTGAGATGAGACTTTCCGCACACTATTTTAAAACCTTTCCACATAGTGCACAGTTCAGATATTACTTGGTTACTTTGTTACTCTGCCATTTTCCGAATGCAATAAACGGGACCACCAAACAATAAAAACAATTGAAGAAAGTGATACGCTCTCTAACTTGGTCAAACTGATATTCGTAAAAACCATTATAAAGTGTGATTGCAAGTCTATCAAATCGATTTTGGTTTAATTCGGAACTCATCCTTGGTTTTAGGCGCACTGTGTTTCATTTGACATTGTTTACACATATTTAAATACAGCATTACGACTTCATAAGTTATATATCTTTGTATTGAACTTGCAATTATTTAAGCATTCGTGTTCCTCCTCCATGGCCTGTTCGTATGTGAGTTACGGAAAGTATATTAAACTCTTCATTTACAACTTAATACTGGATATTCGTTTCTCGTGGTTTTAATGGCACAATTAACTTTTGTTCGTCATTAGCTTTTAAAATTTACTTTTAGAATAAATTACTTAAACGATTTTAGAGTACCATTCTTGAAAAAATAAAAACTATTGTCTTCTCGTTTACTTCTTATTAGGTTATTTAGCTTTTCAAGATATTGACCAATTTTACTGCAGTAGCCATCGAGTACAAATAATTGTTCGGTCTTTCACCCATTCATTTGGTGTCGACATTAACCGGTGTATGTTATCGCTATATAATATTATAATATTATCTGAAAAATTTTCAATATCCAGCCAGTAAATTCAAGTCTTGACGTAAGACGTGGTGCGGGTATAAACCGGAATTGTATGAAGTTCTCCAGACTCCCATCCGACCTACGTTAAGTCTATTACCTATTCTTCGGACGCTACTAGAGCATCAATCGCATTAAGTATTGCTTCTTCTTGAGCAAGCTTCTGTTGAACGGGACGTTCAGAAGTTGCTGTAGGAAAATTGCCTGTTTCTCTCAAATATCGATGGACATTGCTAAACACAGTTCTACAAGGCACTCAACGAGTGGGAAATCATCGACGATATACATCAACTGCCGCTAGTCTATTTCCATTACACAATTCATAAATAATAAATAAACTGAATGTCGACGTATCCTTCATTCAAAAATGTAAACACTGTACCTTGAAGAGTATTTTACTGTAACACACGAAAATAAACACGCAAAATTAAAATAATTGACGATTGCTGTCACAATACATAAGATTGTAATATTCAATATACAAATATAATTAACAATTTAATATTTTCCTATCGTACAAATACA